TCTACATTCCTATATACCCGCATTATATAGTCGAAAATACCCTTTTATCATCTCGAAGCACAAGTATAGAAAAGCTCTACACTGAAAAATTCAAGTGCTTTTGGGTCTTAAGCATCGAGATACACTAAAAGCAATTAATGTTTTGGTTCCTAATGACTCCAACGGAATTTTTGCTGGGAGAGCAAACCACGTTTAGAGATTTTATCTTGAATCAAGACATTTAAATTGTTGTTCTGAATATCAGGTAACGATAAAATAATTTTAATTTAACCATTTTATTTCTTATACACTCACACACATATATATGTATAATATATATATATATGTAACTAGGGTAGTTACCATACTATGGTTAACAACGTATTACAGTCTGATGCAATAGTGCAGATGGTAGACTGATAACGATCATAAAGCCAAGGCGTAGTTAGGGAAGCGATTCGACAAAGCCGCTGCGCAGTTCACAGGCTGACGTAACAGTGCAGATGGTTTATTAATCGGATTGTATGACAGAAGCTGCGCAATTAATATTCTGATGCAACGATTAGAATACGAGTACGAATACGAGTACGAATACGAGTACGAATACGATTACGAATACGAAGGGATATATAGGAAGGCGACAGCGGAGAACGTGGATCAGTATCAGTATCAGTATCAAAGGACGGTGGACAGTAGAGAACTCAGTTGGTTACTGAACGGGTTAGACGTATTGTGTTAATAGGTACGATAGACATGTGCATTCGGTTATGTGAAGACTAAGGAGGACGGTTGGGGGTCAGTTGATTCATTATATTATTGTGAAGCATTTCTTTTGATTCATGTAATAAAAGGATCAATGGTAAACCTGCATCTTCGAGTATCTATATTGTGGTCGATGTTGTGTAGAATGAGTAAATACACTCGTTAACATTTGGCACTACAAGCAGATAGACTCGTTACATTTGGCGTTGTCGAGCAGAAGATGCAACTAGACTCGGTTACATTTGGCGTCGTCGGCAGGATGATTCAACTAGACCAGCCGCTTTAGGCACCCATAGTCAACCTAGTTCATAACTGTGTTTCGTGTGTGTGAATTCGGACATTCAGGAACAGTGAAAATTGAGGAACGAGGAAAATTATTCATACATACACGGTAGGAAAGGTCTTTTTTTTTCTACTCAAAGAATTAAAAATAGAATGTGTACTCTTGACGAGAAGCAGACCCATATTGTGGTCCTGCCCAGAGAGTCCCACATCAACAAATTTTACGGGGACGGTGATCCAACTTTAACCAACAGGTTCAGTGAAGAGGTCAAAGCGGCCTGGGCCTCGAGATACATGTCACCAGAGGAAAGATTAAGACTGCTGATGGGCAGTATAGGGGAGACGGTTAGGGCAGAGGTCAAATGCCACGATAAAACCATCCAATCAGATCCAGATAAGGTGCTGGATCTAATTATGGAGACCTTTGGGGAGAGACGGTCGGGATCGCAACTGCTATCCGGGTTCGTAGGCTTAAAGCAGAGAATGGCGGAGAGTGTGATGGAGTATTCACACCGAATGAACAGGGCCTTTGATTCGGTAAAGGGCAAAACACCTGACATTGATGTGCGCCTACTGAGGGACCATTTCATCGAGGGGCTAGCAACCCCGATCTTAAGGAGAGAGTTGAAAGAAGAGGTCTACAAAGACCCACAGTTGACCTTCCTTCAGGTCAGGAACTCAGCGATCCGCAGGTCCGAGGATGAGGACCACTCGAACTGTTCGGTAGACAAAGTCTCAGTCCCGGAACAGAAACAATCCCCACCCACAGGGACCGGCACGATGGAAACCATGATGGCTCAACTGTTGGCCCACCTGGATAAGGTTGACCAACGATTGGAGAGGTTAGAAAGCAGGTCAACAGCAGAGAATCAGGACAAAAACGGGACAAAACATAGACAGGTCGGACAGCCGCGACCTGCTGGTCCATCACTCCAGTGGACAGCTGACGGTCGACCAATCTGCCTGTCCTGCTCACAACCCGGACATATGGCACGGTACTGTCCGGTGAAACGATCGCCCTCTGTAAGGCAGGTCAAGGCTACAGAGCGGCGAGGTTATGGCGTAAGAAACAAAATGGGACAAACAATGAAAGAGTCTCAAACAAGACTTGAAGAAAAAATGAACTGTGAAATGAACTTGGATGTTGAAAAGTTTCAAGTGAACAATTTGTTGGCTAAGAAAAATGATGATAAGGAAGAAATTGGTAGACTTAATAATGAGATCTCAATGTTAGCCATGAAACTGGATAGGGAAAGTTCATGCAAATTAAAAGCACAGGAGAAATGTTCATCTTTAGAGTGTCTGTTATCTGAAGAAGAAAATAGAAAATTTGTGCCTGGTTTTGCAAAAATTGCCGCACCGTTGCATGACTTGGTAAACAAAATGACAAAGAAACACAGTAAGGAGAAAAAGAAAGGCAAAACACAACTGATAGGTGAATTGTGGACTGAGGAATGCCTGAAATCGTTTAAGCTACTGAAAAAGGCTTTGACAGAGGCGCCGATATTAGGATACGCAGACTTTGACAAACCATTTCGGCTAGAAATTGACGCCAGCTCTAAAGGTCTGGGAGCTGTACTATCACAACAACAAGAGCAAGGTTTCAGGGTTATTGCGTATGCCAGTCGAGCTCTGAAGGAATCAGAGAAGAACATGACAAATTACACCGCCATGAAACTAGAACTTTTGACATTAAAATGGGCTGTGACTGAAAAATTCAGGGACTATCTATTAGGTGCTAAATGTGTGGTATACACTGACAATAACCCCCTGAGTCACCTACAGACAGCAAAGTTGGGATCCATCGAACAGCGATGGGCAGCAGAATTGGCTCTCTTTGACCTAGAGATAAAATATCGCCCGGGGCGGTCCAATGACAATGCGGACGCTTTATCAAGGAATCCTTACGAGAGACCGGGCGATGAGGAAGAAACGCTGACAGGAATATGTGAGGTCAGAGCGTCAACAGATATCCCTCACGTGGTGCAAGTGATGCAAAACGGGCAGACTGTGGTGGAGCACACATCCACAGAGCCCCGACATATGGACATCAGTGATTTTAATTGCCTGAATCACAAAGAGATAAGAGATGCCCAGAGAACGGGTAGTGGCTTACAGCCGCTATTGAAATACGTCCAGGAACAAAAATTCCCAAGAAGAAGGGAAAGAGAACAGTTTGGTCGAGAAACAAAGAAACTACTGAGTCAGTGGGACCGTCTCAGTATAAAGGATGGTGTTCTCATGCGGAGAATTCATGACCAAATAGACGGGACAATACACCAGGTGGTGGTGCCTGGACAGTTACGAGAAGAAGTGCTAAGGTTGGCACATGACAGGGCAGGACACCAGGGTCAGGACAGGACGCACAAAATATTACGACGGCGGTGTTACTGGCCCAATATGGAGATGGAGGTCAAACGCCATTGTGAGGCTTGTGTTAGGTGTCAGCATGCGAAAATGCCAGTTGTCAAAATGAGACAGCCATCAGGACACCTACTGGCGACAAAACCACTAGAGATTGTGGCTATGGACTTTACGTCGTTGGAGCAATCATCGGATGGGACGGAACATGTGTTGGTAATGACTGATGTATTCACCAAATGGACTGTTGCGGTGCCCACACGAGATCAGACGGCCAAAACAGTGGCAAAGGTTTTAATATAACATTGGTTCATCAAATATGGCATACCAAGACAATTACACTCTGACCAAGGAAGGGCCTTCGAGTCAGAAGTAATTAACCAACTGTGCAGCCACTACGGGATCAACAAATCTAGAACAACCACATATAATCCTAAAGGAAACGGACAGTGCGAGCGGTTCAACCGCAGCATGCATGATTTGTTGCGTACTCTAGAACCTGAACAGAAAAAACGTTGGCCTGATTTTCTCCCAGAGTTGGTATATCTATACAACTGCAACCCCCATGCCACAACCGGCTTTTCGCCACACATGTTACAATTCGGACGGGAGGCTCGACTCCCTCTTGACTTGTTCCTAGGAAAAAAGGAAAGTATGACTGGCTCATACACCGCACTGGAATATGTAAATGAACATATGAGACGAATTAGAGAAATGTACAGGGTGGTACAGGAAAGACTAGAACATGAAGCACGGCGAAGGGAACCGCCGGTACAGACAAAGGACCCGCCACTCAAACTGAACGACAGGGTATTACTGCGTAGCCACCCGTTAGGCAGAAACAAAATTCACGATCTCTGGGGACAGGAGATATGGCAAGTCGTGGAGATGCCTAAAGTAGCAGGTGGCCCCTTTAAGATAAGACCCACCAATCACACCAAACCGGATCGGTGGGCGAATATTGATCAATTAAAGAAATATTGGCATAGGCAAGAAGAGCATTTACATACAAAGAAACCTAAGACAATTAGGGAACCGGAAACTATAACGGAAATTCACATACCCATCCCGGAACCATGTCACCATCAACAGAACAACAGCGATACACAAGTGGAGGATAACGGCAACAAAGAGGATCCCGTTCCTCCCAGAAGCAGAGAGACAGTAGACCATCAGATAAGTGGTCCGCGGAGAAGTGTGAGAAACAGAAAGAATACGAAATTTTTCGTCAGCAACCATCAATTCTTTCATGGTCGCGCTGGTATGAGAACAGACTGTTCAAAAAGTTATAAAAGTGAACTGGTGAAGGCACCAAACGAAAAAAGGTGGATGTGAATTCTAGAACTGCTTTGTGTCTGAGGAATATGATGTAGACACATTTGATATGTGAAATAGGGATAACTGTCAATCTTTTACGAATGTGACGACATTGACAGTGAGTGGAACAATAATTTTTTTTTACGGCGGTGCGTTGGACATTGAAGGAGTGCACCTGCCAAGCGTTGTTTGTGGTTGAAAACACACAAAAAAAGGCGGGGGTGGATGTAACTAGGGTAGTTACCATACTATGGTTAACAACGTATTACAGTCTGATGCAATAGTGCAGATGGTAGTGTAACACATATGGTTACTAGCCAAAGGGGGATAAAACTATGAAGTTTTTATTCATTGGGTTGCGGCCCCTGTGGGACTGCAACTGAACTGTTGACGTTTTTTTATGCTTTTGTGAGCGAAATTACCTGTGTTCCATGTCATGTGACATGTGCCTAGTCGTGTCGCACACGCAAGGCTGCTGTCTGTGGACCAAGATGTAGACCTAATGAAGGTAGTGTAGATATTTAAATTATGTTTGTTAAAATACTTACTTATGTATTCCTGCTAGTGCTGCATGTGCACACTAGTTAGGGTGATGTATTAAATTAAGTATTTATTTTGTAGTACTACTTATTGGTACTTGTTGGCAGTACTGTGTACTGGCCGAAAACATAATTTATTGTACCCGTGTATATTGTAGCTTACACGTGGTGTTGTCCTGAATGTAACTTTTTTATTTTACATTTGTTTTAGGGCTACAGTTTTCTGTTTCTATTTTGATCTTTTGATCTTTTGATCTTTTGGTCTTTTGGATTGTTTGGATCTTTTGGTCTACCTTGGCTAGTTCGTTTTGTGTTGCATCGCCGTCATGGCTCGATGCTATAAATAAACGAGTACTGGACAACAACTGTCGGTGTCGGTGTATACTTAATCTCAGGGTCAGCCCGTCTTAAACCACAACACCTCAGTGGGTAAAAGCATCCCCACTGAGTGAGGGTTACATTTGGCGCCCAACGTGGGGCTTGACCTTGGGAGGTAGGATGGCAAGCACCAAGCCGACGTTCGAGAAGTTGTCGCAGGAGCTGGCCAAGTTGAGGGCTACGATGGCGGAGCTAGAACAGACAAGTGCGCAGCGGCCCGTGACGGTGAAGGTGTGTGCTCCGGTACACAGCGATGAGGAGGAGTTCACCGACTTTCTACCCACGGGCGGGGTTGCAGGGGAAGCTAGCCCGAAGATGGAGTCCGTCCTGAAAGCTGTTAAAAGGCTGGACGGGACAACTGAGTCCCCAGTCGTAGCCACGGCAGCAGCTAACAGGACTATCCAGGTAGACTCACTAACGGCAGCTGTTCGCCAAGAGTCGAAACCGCTGATACTCACGGAGGAACAACTTGACCGTCTGGCGGAGAAGGTGGCAGCAGCTATCCTAGCCCGGAAACAACGGCCTTACAGAGGAGCTTGTTACGGGTGCGGGTCCAGGAAGCACTTCGTCCGCGACTGTCCGAGGAAAGCAGCTAGGCAACGGAGTCAGCAGCAGGGGAAATGCCAGTCTATCAGCGTCGGGGAGCGGATGCTGATGCGTGTTCTGCCAAGCTCTCAGCCCAAGTTTACGCCACCGAGATCATCACAGTGTCGAGCAACCACAGCTCAGGTTACCTCGCCTAGCGGCTGGAGGTACGGCTGTCGGGTGTTCCGCCGTGGAGGAGGGTTGCAGCCGGAGGGTGCGCGTGAGGAGGGTAGACAGCCACACCATGAATGTCAGTCTCAGCGCGAGCAAGATCGTCGCTTGGGAGACAGACATGACACAAGCAGAGGTCGGAGACGCCGCCGGAGGAGAGGCCGACGACGTGGTGGACGCCGCCGTGGTTGGCAGCGACCCGACTATACAATGTCGAGTGCTGAACCCACTGTGGCGGAGGGGGAGCGACGGAAAGAGATCATCCCAACCAGTGAGGCAGATGAAGGTGAGGAACTGGCAATCAAGGTGGTTGTCCCAACCAGACTTCGGCCGGAGGCAATGCCCTTCGGGCCAGAGGTGGTCGCCCGGGACGGGCAAGACAAGGTGATGGTCAGGCCAGCCCCACATCTGGATGAGGTGAATGTGAGGGGCGAGGCATCGGACGAGGATGACTCTTGGATCAACCCAGAACCACCAGTGGAGCTGCGGAGGTCAACCCGTCAACGACGACCCGTCGAGCGACTCAACCTGGCGCATCAAGTGGTGACCAGTACCAGCACTGGAGCCTCTACCGGTTTGCCGGGAATAATGTATTTGAGTTGAAAGGACTTAATGTCTGTGTACTAGTGTACTGAACTTTTTTTTTAAGTACTATTATGTGTGAGTGTAAATGTAAATGTAAATGTGAATTCCATTGTACATTTATTTGTGAGGGGGGCTGTGTAACACATATGGTTACTAGCCAAAGGGGGATAAAACTATGAAGTTTTTATTCATTGGGTTGCGGCCCCTGTGGGACTGCAACTGAACTGTTGACGTTTTTTTATGCTTTTGTGAGCGAAATTACCTGTGTTCCATGTCATGTGACATGTGCCTAGTCGTGTCGCACACGCAAGGCTGCTGTCTGTGGACCAAGATGTAGACCTAATGAAGGTAGTGTAGATATTTAAATTATGTTTGTTAAAATACTTACTTATGTATTCCTGCTAGTGCTGCATGTGCACACTAGTTAGGGTGATGTATTAAATTAAGTATTTATTTTGTAGTACTACTTATTGGTACTTGTTGGCAGTACTGTGTACTGGCCGAAAACATAATTTATTGTACCCGTGTATATTGTAGCTTACACGTGGTGTTGTCCTGAATGTAACTTTTTTATTTTACATTTGTTTTAGGGCTACAGTTTTCTGTTTCTATTTTGATCTTTTGATCTTTTGATCTTTTGGATTGTTTGGATCTTTTGGTCTACCTTGGCTAGTTCGTTTTGTGTTGCATCGCCGTCATGGCTCGATGCTATAAATAAACGAGTACTGGACAACAACTGTCGGTGTCGGTGTATACTTAATCTCAGGGTCAGCCCGTCTTAAACCACAACACCTCAGTGGGTAAAAGCATCCCCACTGAGTGAGGGTTACAGTAGACTGATAACGATCATAAAGCCAAGGCGTAGTTTGGGAAGCGATACGACAAAGCCGCTGCGCAGTTCACAGGCTGACGTAACAGTGCAGATGGTTTATTAATCGGATTGTATGACAGAAGCTGCGCAATTAATATTCTGATGCAACGATTAGAATACGAGTACGAATACGAGTACGAATACGAGTACGAATACGATTACGAATACGAAGAGATATTTAGGAAGGCGACAGCGGAGAACGTGGATCAGTGTCAGTATCAGTATCAAAGGACGGTGGACAGTAGAGAACTCAGTTGGTTACTGAACGGGTTAGACGTATTGTGTTAATAGGGACGATAGACATGTGCATTCGGTTATGTGAAGACTAGTGAGGACGGTTGGGGGTCAGTTGATTCATTATATTATTGTGAAGCATTTCTTTTGATTCATGTAATAAAAGGATCAATGGTAAACCTGCATCTTCGAGTATCTATATTGTGGTCGATGTTGTGTAGAATGAGTAAATACACTCGTTAACATTTGGCACTACAAGCAGATAGACTCGTTACATTTGGCGTTGTCGAGCAGAAGATGCAACTAGACTCGGTTACATATATATATATATATATATATATATATATATATATATATATATATATATATATATATATATATAACGATATAGAAATAGAAATAGAAATAGAAATAGATATAGGTATAGGTATAGGTATTGGTATAGGTATAGGTATAGGTATAGGTATAGGTATAGGTATAGGTATAGGTATAGGTATAGGTATAGGTATAGGTATAGGTATAGGTATAGGTATAGGTATAGGTATAGGTATAGGTATAGGTATAGGTATAGGTATAGGTATAGGTATAGGTATAGGTATAGGTATAGGTATAGGTATAGGTATAGGTATAGGTATAGGTATAGGTATAGGTATAGGTATAGGTATAGGTATAGGTATAGGTATAGGTATAGGTATAGGTATAGGTATAGGTATAGGTATAGGTATAGGTATAGGTATAGGTATAGGTATAGGTATAGGTATAGGTATAGGTATAGGTATAGGTATAGGTATAGGTATAGGTATAGGTATAGGTATAGGTATAGGTATAGGTATAGGTATAGGTATAGGTATAGGTATAGGTATAGGTATAGGTATAGGTATAGGTATAGGTATAGGTATAGGTATAGGTATAGGTATAGGTATAGGTATAGGTATAGGTATAGGTATAGGTATAGGTATAGGTATAGGTATAGGTATAGGTATAGGTATAGGTATAGGTATAGGTATAGGTATAGGTATAGGTATAGGTATAGGTATAGGTATAGGTATAGGTATAGGTATAGGTATAGGTATAGGTATAGGTATAGGTATAGGTATAGGTATAGGTATAGGTATAGGTATAGGTATAGGTATAGGTATAGGTATAGGTATAGGTATAGGTATAGGTATAGGTATAGGTATAGGTATAGGTATAGGTATAGGTATAGGTATAGGTATAGGTATAGGTATAGGTATAGGTATAGGTATAGGTATAGGTAAAGGTAAAGATATAGACATAGGTATAGACATAGGTATAGACATAGACATAGACATAGACATAGACATAGACATAGACATAGACATAGACATAGACATAGACATAGACATAGACATAGACATAGACATAGACATAGACATAGACATAGACATAGACATAGACATAGACATAGACATAGACATAGACATAGACATAGACATAGACATAGACATAGACATAGACATAGACATAGACATAGACATAGACATAGACATAGACATAGACATAGACATAGACATAGACACAGACACAGACACAGATAGAGATAGAGATAGAGATAGAGATAGAGATAGAGATAGAGATAGAGATAGAGATAGAGATAGAGATAGAGATAGAGATAGAGATAGAGATAGAGATAGAGATAGAGATAGAGATAGAGATAGAGATAGAGATAGAGATAGAGATAGAGACAGAGACAGAGACAGAGACAGAGACAGAGACAGAGACAGAGACAGAGACAGAGACAGAGACAGAGACAGAGACAGAGACAGAGACAGAGACAGAGACAGAGACAGAGACAGAGACAGAGACAGAGACAGAGACAGAGACAGAGACAGAGACAGAGACAGAGACAGAGACAGAGACAGAGACTGAGACTGAGACTGAGACAGAGACAGAGACAGAGACAGAGACAGAGACAGAGACAGAGACAGAGACAGAGACAGAGACAGAGACAGAGACAGAGACAGAGACAGAGACAGAGACAGAGACAGAGACAGAGACAGAGACAGAGACAGAGACAGAGACAGAGACAGAGACAGAGACTGAGACTGAGACTGAGACTGAGACAGAGACAGAGACAGAGACAGAGACAGAGACAGAGACAGAGACAGAGACAGAGACAGAGACAGAGACAGAGACAGAGATAGAGATAGAGATAGAGAAAGAGACAGAGACAGAGACAGAGACAGAGACAGAGACAGAGACAGAGACAGAGACAGAGACAGAGACAGAGACAGAGACAGAGACAGAGACAGAGACAGAGACAGAGACAGAGACAGAGACAGAGACAGAGACAGAGACAGAGACAGAGACAGAGACAGAGACAGAGACAGAGACAGAGACAGAGACAGAGACAGAGACAGAGACAGAGACAGAGACAGAGACAGAGACAGAGACAGAGACAGAGACAGAGACAGAGACAGAGACAGAGACAGAGACAGAGACAGAGACAGAGACAGAGCTAGAGCTAGAGCTAGAGCTAGAGCTAGAGCTAGAGCTAGAGCTAGAGCTAGAGCTAGAGCTAGAGATAGAGATAGAGATAGAGATAGAGATAGAGATAGAGATAGAGATAGAGATAGAGATAGAGATAGAGATAGAGATAGAGATAGAGATAGAGATAGAGATAGAGATAGAGATAGAGATAGAGATAGAGATAGAGATAGAGATAGAGATAGAGATAGAGATAGAGATAGAGATAGAGATAGAGATAGAGATAGAGATAGAGATAGAGATAGAGATAGAGATAGAGATAGAGATAGAGATTGAGATAGAGATAGAGATAGAGATAGAGAGAAAAAATCTACCGCCCTCTTAAAAGTTAAACAACCCGCGTGATTTGTAATTAGAGAGTGTTATAGATTACAACGAAGTGCCAGCTGTTTTAAGGAATTTATATATATATATATATATATATATATATATATATATATATATATGTATATATATATATATATATATATATATATATATATATATATATATATATATATATATATATATATATATATATATATATATATATATATATATATATATATATATATATATCCCCTAATGTATTAAAGCTCATGTGCGAATTTCTTTCTCTCTCTCTCACTCTCTCTGTCTTCAACATGTGCCAATCCTGGTGGGTTTTTTAATTGAATTAACTCAATTTTTGTACAGAAAGAAAATAAAAATAAAGCAATATTTGAATGTTAAAACATATTTTCAATTACGCAACCGGTAAACTATTTATGGATGTGACTAGAATGCAAAAAACAATGAAGTCACATGTTACGGAAATAACACAAAACTAATGGCGTCATCTTTCAATTTTAGAATATGAAACAATGAACAATTTCATTCAAATCTGATTAAAAGATCTACTCATCAAAACGTACGCTATGACATTTATACGAATACATTTTTTAACGAAATCAATTAAGTCTCTTTCAGTGTGTGCATTTAATATGGTGTTGTGTTGACTGATAACGTATCATACGCCGCTAGCTATTTAGTTGTTTTATTTTCTACTTTTCGGTAATTCATAATTTGTGAATTTGACCACTGCTGTCACTGAAAATATTTGCTTTAAAACACTATCAGTAGCTCCTTAAGGACGAACCCCCCCCCCACCCTCCTATCCCCCAACCCCTACCCCCCCCCACCCTGAAAGCAGCCTCCTCTTAGTTACCTTCCCTAAGTTTAAAATCGTTTCAAACTAAATTATCTGCCCCTAATAGCTTTCACTAAATTCGCCTCTACGATTGTAAACATTTAGCGTGAACCACAGCTCAACAGACCATGTGATATGCCTAGAGAGGAAGAGATGGGACTGCAAGGCGCGCTTACAGCTTGGTGTTTTCTAACGTCTCCAAGAAGAGAATTATATATAGATCTATAGATAATTTGATTTTAACTTTTGAAATAGGTAATTGTACCTTATGATATTTCAAATTAGTCGGATTGTAAGCTATTTAGTTATTTCTTTGCTTTTTCATTAATATTGTTCAATTTGTAGGAAAGCTTACTGAAACAAGTACAACATTAACATATACGAGCCGACCCGCGGCATATCATACGCCGCTATTTAGATGTTGTTTTTTCTACTTTTCAGTAATTCATAATTTGTGAATTCGACAGTACCAACGCTGCCACTGAAAATCTATATATATTCAGAAAAACATCCCCCCTCCTTCCCCTCCCCCTCCGTGAAAGTAAACTCCACTTAGTTACCCCCCTCCCCCCTACGTTTAAAATCGTTTCAAACTAAATTATCTGCCCCTAATAGTCATCACTAAACCCGGCTCTGCCTATAAACATTTCGCGTGAACCACAGCTCACCAGATCATGTAGGGGTTGGGGTGGTAGGGAGCGCGCTTACAGCTTGTTTTCTAGCGTCTCCCAGAAGAGAATTATTTATATAAGCTAGTTGCGATCTCAGATAAAAAGGCATACCCTAACGTTGAATAACCCTAAAAATATTTTTTTTGCAATTTCGTTATCATTTTGTAATTTAGCAAAACATTCCTGCTGCAACTTTTACAATAGAATTACAAATTAGGCACTGAAGCTGACACCACCTGTTTCATACAACTACAAAGACAGACTTCAAATTAAGTTCGTGTTGCGTTTATCTCGCTATCGTTCATTCTTACATTAGGGCGACATAATTTGCAAGTTATATGTATATATATATATATATATATATATATATATATATATATATATATATATATATATATATATATATATATATATATTTATATATATATACTGCCTTTGGTAATCTCAATAACTTTAAAACACTAAAGGTATTTCCTCGGTAAGTTTTACATGCATTTTTAAATGTATAGTTTAAAAAAATACTTTTGACCATAAAGAAAACGGGACGTGAACAACATGAAAACAAACCGGGAGTAATCTCCCCTAAACTTTCTCGAATATTCTTATATAAAACAACAGGGGATGGGAACTCGGGCTATAGACATGATTTTTAATCCATTTTAAATAATTAAAGTTTTAAAAATAGAATAAAATCTCGTAGACAAAAGAATTGCACACCAAGTGAACGTCAAATAAAAAAAGTGCATAATAGTGCGCAATATTATTAGTACTTTAAAAATTTACATTAGTTTTTTGAGAAATCGGAAGTGGCGTAAATTACTACTTTCGGTCAACGGAAGTTACTCAAAATTAAACAGAAGGTAGAGAATTAGATCTTTTACTTACATGTGAAAGTTCATTTATCTATCTGAAATAGTACTCAAGTTATAGTCTTTTGAAAAATTCAAAGTAGAAAAAGTACCACTTCCGGTTATCTGAAATCGCTCAAAAGTTGATACAGATCTACGATTTTAATAAAATACTTATATATGAAATTTCATCAACCTAGCTGTAACGGTACTCAAGTTATCGTGTTTACACACAGACACACACTCACACAGACAGACAGACACACAGACATACGGACAGAATTGCAAAGCTAAGTTTTTCAGACTGGATTACGCATAAAACCTCTTAGTTTTGATAAATCTGGATTGATAATTTTTGCCCGATTAAAATAAGTCCTCTAAACTTCGGATGTGATGAAGGACTGAGGTGTAATACGGTGAAAATTGTTAAAATTTCAAGTGATTTTTGTGCACGATTACAATACTTTCTCTATACTCCGTATATACGAGAAAGTAAAAATGAAATATTTTGGTGTTAATCACTCGTTCGAAAAGTTAACATGATTTTTCAATATTAGCTTTTACACTTTACCTAATTGTAATAGCACTTTTCTGATCATAGTAATTATGTAGATTTTTAGAAACCTCGTTACTAAAATGCTACGTACTATAACATATGTTTAAAATAATGTATCACTTTTAATTTGTCTAACACGACCATTTCTCATAATTCGTGTTGTAATACTTTACAAAATATTTTTTTAATGTATGTTTTTACTTTCTCGTATATACGAAGTCTAGAGAAAGTCTTGTAATCGTGCAAAAAAAAAATCGAGATTTTTACAAATAATATCATAAAAATGAAATTCGATGTTATTATAGCATATTATGAAAAATTAATAATTTATATATTATAAACCTCTACGTAATAAACATGTAAAATAAAATGAAACATCATGAGGAACATTTTTTTCTTTTTTGAAGAAGAGTAATTTTTTTTTAACCATCGATCAAATTCGCTTAACACAAATATAAAATACAAAAAAAAGCTAATAAAATCCAAATGTTTCATCTTACAAATGTTTTCTGTAATCACCATTTATATTTTTTTAGACTCAAAGCAGATACGATTAATTTCGGTAGCTCACCTATGATAATTGCCTCCCTTATATAACTAGGGGAAAGAAAATTTAGAGGTTAAAATGTTTTATTGACAAATTACATTTTTCAAAATGTATCCCTGTTTTATTTTCATAATTCTATATTTAGACACTAACGAAGTTTTATGTTTTGTGTGTGTTTATTTTAGATTTACAATGGTGAGGGCGTGGTACATGGACAGCTCTGATGCAGACCAAAGGGAGCCTCACATGAATGATCCTCCTGTCTTTCTCAAGTTGGATGTGTTATACAAAAAAACTGGAGTGGAATGCTTTACCGTTAGTCTAAAGAAATGTCTCAATATAATTTGATAATATTGTATTGAAAAAAAAAGTAGTACCAATACATTAAAACCATTGGTCATCATTTATCACACAATTATCATCATTATTTTCCTAATGTTCCTTTGGGAAATTAAGGACACCGTTAAAGCTCTCCACTTACTTCTGTCATTCTTTTCACCTTTTCCCAGCTCTATCCTTAAAATAAACAGCTAAGTGCTTCTTAGGCTATTGTAATTTAATTCCATCCAGTCGTCTGTTATCCGCTTGTTATCTTTTTGGCATAATAAAATTGTTCTTCCGTGTACCTCGCTAGAAGTATTGAAGGTATGTGTATGTTAGTATAACCACTCTAATGCTAGTCCTAATCCAGACCCAGTGGTGAACTAGGCAGTCAGAACACCGTTAAGAATTTCGATCGCGGATCACGAACTGTACGGTCATATTGGAAAATTAAAGTAAGGTGTGACGTAAGGTGTGACCGCTATCATTTTTCCAATGGGTCGCTCTAACACTCCAGTCGACACTCGTCGAGGCCCCCAACCCTAACAGTAATACTAGCAACAAAAAACTGCCGCGAGTCACTGAAGAAAACAAAAAATTCTAGTAAATATGCAGTTCTTCTCTTTTTTTTTGGGTAACTAGTCAATGTAAGTTACGGGGAAAGACAGGACAAATCACAGTTTAGCAAGAAACTTACAAAATAAGGTGTAGATGGATAGCTCATACACTGAGGAAACCGGTAGCAAGAATAACCAGACACGGCATATGATGGAATCTGCAAGGTTCAAGGAAAAGAATGAAACACCTGGCTTTTTACTTTACATTGAACAACGTTTTTGGATACTAATCTTTGTCAAATATGCATATTGATGAAAAAATTGAACGACTGCTTGAAATTATCCAGTTATGGTTCTTGTGATATGCCCCAATAGGTAAACAAAGTTGAAGCTAATGAACACGCTCTAAATGGCATCAATTTGCAACAAATGTCATCAACAAATTAAAATTCAAAGTACCGGCGATTACAAATAAACAGCAGCAGATTTTACAAAATGTGTTGGTTCTGCCTAATTATCAGCATTGAGCACAGAAAACTAAAGCTACTGCAATAAAAAAGAATTTGGATGCAGTTTAGATTAAGATAAAGCGTATGGTTTTGGTTAGCAACAGGGTTGGGTATTTGGAGATAAATATGGGGAAAGAAAGGGATAGATACGGGTTTAGTATGTATTGTGTATTGGGGTAATTACACGAGGTGGTATTTCAGATGATGTATTTGATTTGGGGGCTAATGACGCGTGGAGGGCAGTAGTGGCTAACGTTTTACACACAGATACAGCATGTAACATTTCGGATTCAATTAATATTGAATTTTAGTTATGTGCTTGTTTCAAGTTAGTTTTCGACATTATTGACAATTACTAATAATTATGTGCATATTATTTAATATTTAGTTCGTACTGGACGCTTTTATTTTTGTTGTAGATATATATCCAATGCTGTTAGTGTACAATGGTCTGTTACATTTTCTTATAATATTTTCTTTGTTTACATTAATGTTACATCTGGCAGTTGTTGGCTTTTACGGTGTAAAAATAATATGCTCTTAAAAGATACTGTTATGAAACGCGAGTCATTTATATGGTAGGTGATGACGGTGATGATTACTGCAGTGAGAGGTCAAACAGTTGTGGGGTGGATTAGACACAGTAGAGTACTTGATTGTTAAAGAAGACACCAACACAATTTCAGCTAAACAACTTTAATTACATAGATAATGGAACTTCACTCTATATCAGGGGTCTCCAAACTGTTCAGTCCAAGGGCCGCATTAAATATCAAATTTCAGTTCGGGGGCCAATTTCTTTCAGGCATGTCTTTGATTTTTCTGGGCAAAGTTCCTCAGCCATCACCAACAAATGGTTTTTCCGTGGACAAAAAGATCTCCGCGGGCTGGATGAGAGGACATCGCGGGTCGCATCCTGCCCGCGGGCCGTAGTTTGGAGACCCCTGCTCTATACGGTAGTATTACTATGGTCTAAGGAAGCAGAACTAGTTCATTAATAGCGGCCGGCCTTAGGTGCCAGCCCTATCACACATTACAAAACACAAACACGACTACATGCTAGCAAGCCTAACGTTCAACTGTCCTAATGTATTCTTCTAGTCCAAGCTTCACCCTCGGGTTCCTTAACCCCTGCCTGACCCTGGCAGTCCAGCGAGGGAGAGGGTCGGGCGCCCTTTAAAGCGGTCCATTAGGGTTGTTTGAGCCCAGGGCGACCAACCCCACCCGCCCTCCATTAGTTGTATTGCCATGAAAGTTGGAACTGCTATGTGATGTCATAGCGTCATGATCAATTTAAGTAAGAGTAAATAACATATAACATTAGCTAAAATGTTAATAATTGTATTGATTCAGTTTGATGCTGGCTCATTGAAAACAAATGAAGATTATGCAAACTTAAAAAAAAATCGAGGATACTCCTATGAAGATATCTGTGAGATCTCCAAAGAGACCTTACCTAACTATGACAACATGGTGAGTACTATGTTTTAACAACCGGTTAAGAACCAAGAATGTAATATCAATATTGGTACCTTACATCTGACAATAGGGCTGGTATCATGGATGTCACTAAAATATTTGTGCACACAACTACTCACTTTTGTGAACACAAAATTTAAGATGAACATTAAGTTGACACCTTTCAACGGCTATTGGCACTTTAATTATCTAGGTGATTATTCTTCTCTTAATATTTATTTACGGAATTAGGTTCTGAATGAAATTATTTTCTTAAACAATGTGTTATCATATTGCTTTTGGCACACTTAAAGCATATGTAAAAGAAAATTTAGTTTTAATGGCCCAAAAATGTATTGTTACTTATAAGTACCGTCAGGAATATTGGACATTTTTTATTTTTAATTAAAAAAAAGTTAGAAAACAGGAACAAATGAAACAATTTATTAACTATCTATAATAATAATCCATCCGCCGATACTGCCTGAGCCGATGTGATCTTCTAAGGCCTCAGTCTAGGTAGATATTGAATGCGATAGTTCAAGCAGCCTTGTCTGACTCCTGTGGCTAATCTAAACCATTCGCCTTTTGTTGTAAACACTACTGCTCAGGTTGCTCTATAAAGCCAGCCCCGTTCTTCACCTATGATCTTTTCAGCTTGTGGCTTCAGTCAGTTGAATATTATCTTTAACAGGATTTGGCGTGGATGACTTATTAGACTGATGGTATTGTCATTCGACAGAGCTATAAGTTGCTTTTCTTGGCAATGGTGTTGATAAGAAATTGGGTCAACAGATTGGGCCATTCTCCTGTCTGTCAGGTTTTGCTGTAAGTATTTAGCAGCGCATCTGACAGATTGTTTCTCCTGCTGCTATTATTAGTTCAGCTTGTAAATTCTCCACCCTTGCTGTTTTTCCCTTCTTCAGCTTTTTCATGTCCGCCTTTACATGTGCAGATAATGGGGTCTTTATGATTATGGGTGGCATTAGAGACATCTAGTATCCTATTGTCTCCTGCAGTATCATGATTGTACAACTGCAAACAATACTGGTACTACCTTGTTATGATGTCTTATACTTAAGAAAGACTCCATTTATGTCCTACTCATTAAGAGAAACTTGAAAAAAGTATAAATATACGGTGTCTTTCTGCCTCTGAGAATTCTGCTATTAATCACACTTCTGCTGCTTCAAATAGCTTTACGTCTTATTATCTTCAAACATTTCTTAATTCGAATTTTCATTTCTAAAATATTCCGCTTATAGTGTCAGTTACATTACTAAAAGAAATTAAATGAGAAGGTGCTTTTGAAATGCTTTTCAATGAAGGAACTTAAGATTTTCATATCTCGAACCGAGTTTGCTTTTTTGTGAGTTGTAGAAATAGTTTAAATAGCGGTACTTTTTACTCAATTTCCGTATTTAAAGTGTTGGTGTTAGCTGCCGCACTACCATTTCCCACTGCATTCCATTTAATTTTGTATCTAAATTTTTAAAATCCTGCACAAAGAAACGATTAGACCTAGCATTCAAATATAGCTATTGTTTATACTACGACATATGCTATAGTGACTTGGTAATTTATTACTATCATAATGATTATTCTTGTCTGAAATGTTTTTTATTTTCAAATATTACTTCGAAAGCACTTTATATTTTTTTAAAATATGAACCCTATCTAATTTCAGATATTCTGTTTAATTACCTAGTTCAGAAACTAAAATAAAAAGTTAAAATTACTATTAGGCTCTTATCTGCTGAAAACTTTTGATTAAGCACAAATAAATGTAAAAAAACGCAGGTGTAGAGAAATTGAAAAAGAATTGAAAATAATAAGAAAGAAATGGAAAGAAATGTAAAAAATTGCAAAGGCGAGAAAATACTTGGAATGATCTTGTAAATGGCCGGGCATAGAAGAAAATTAAGTAGCTAGGTAATTTTCAGGACTGAAAGAATTTTCGTAGAAGTTTATTTTTAATTGGATATTTTCAGTTTGGTCTATGCAGAACGCTTGTCAAATCCCAAGATTATTGAGATAACAATCACGTATTCTGCTATTTAAACTTGTTACTTATGGTGCTATACAATTGTTATATTTTAGATTGCAGCTTTCTATACGGAGCACATCCATGCTGATGATGAGATAAGATTTGTGGTTAAAGGCAGTGGTTATTTCGACGTGCGTGATATTGATGACAAGTGGATTAGAGTGGAGGTTGTTAAAAATGACCTTATAATAGTCCCTGCAGGGTTATATCACAGATTTACTCTCAATACTTCGGTCAGTTATTTACATTTTTTTGAAATATTTAAATTTTGTTTTTATTAATAACTTTATATTTTTTTAATATGTTTTATATACTTTCATATTTACAGAATTACATAAAGATGAAAAGGCTTTTTGTAGATGGAGCAGTGTGGATACCAATTAATCGACCAGGAGCTGATGAAAACGCCACACGATAACTTTATCTCTAAACTATGGCTGCTTTAAACTCATGCAATGTTTTGGGCTGTCATACACATATTAAGTCAACATTTGGAATGCGTTTGTTTTTCAACAGAAATATTATTTACATTTTCTATTCAATAACCAGTTTTTTAGTTATATTTAATGTGAGTGTGAAAATAATATGCATATATCTGCCTTCCTGTAATTAATGTCAATTTTAATTAGTTATTTTTTTATTGGTTTTTTAAGTTTGTGAATTTAAGCAAATGTCGAAAAAAGGATATATTGAATTAATTTGTTCCCCCTTAAACTACATTTTAAGTTTTTTTTTTAAAATACAACACAGGGATCCGTTAAGGAAAGTCTGAATTGTGTTGTAATTGATTTGTATTTGTGTTACTCTCATCGTTGCAGAAACAGAGAATGACATATTTCACGTTGATCTCAAACATTCATTTCTTGTAAAGCTAAGACTGCTCATAACGTCCATGCTGTGCAGAGAAAGTTGAATGTGTACCTAGTCTTACTAGTCTCCTCATCTACTTCCCTATCCTTGTTTTATACACTTCATAGATAAGTGATCCCATTCCGAAATAGTCATTTCTTGAATCTTAAAAGGGAGCTCCTGTCGGTTGATAACTCTAATTACCTTTTTTTCCCACTTGATCTTTAAGCCTGTTTTAGGTGCTGAGTTTGGCTAGCATGGGCTGGACATGCTGTTACCGATGTAAGAAGAGGCTGATGCCATCCTCAAAATCTAGGTCCACCAAATGTTTAGTGAGGACTCGCAAAATTCCAGCTTTTTGGTCTTAGATTGTTCTTATCATAACCGAGCCAGTGATTAACAAAAAAGATCATCGGCGAATGCATGCAGCACTATTAATAATAAGGGCTCAGTTAACTTGTAGTGGCTAATCTGGCAGATTCATAAAGCTATTAGGTGATTTTGATGAATTTCGGAGGGATCCCTTAGTTGTACATAAACTTCCAACGACATCTTTTTCCGACTATCAAATGCCCTCACAAAATCGGCAAAGGTCACGTAGAGAAGTGCTTGACACGCAATTGACTGTTAAATAATTATACACATCGTGGTTATGTGGTCAGTACACCACATGTTGTGGTGAAACCCTACCTGTTCTGGCCTTGTTTCTTGTTAAATGTCTCCCCAGCGTCTAAAGCATGATTCTAATAAGTACCTTGCTAGGACAGATGATAGCATTATTCCTCTATAATCTGTTGAATTGTGAAAGGTAACAGTTCTTTAGAAGCTTCATTGTGAAACATTTCTTGTCAATTATCGCAATCTTCTTCATTTATACTAATAGCCTCCATTACAAGGTTCTGAGGATTTCCTTTTTCTGTTGGTCCTTGCATTGATTACTTTTTTTGGGATGACAGCAGAGTTAAGGGGTAATATTACTATAGCCAGCCAGCCATAAACGTCTGGACTAAAGACATGACCGGAGGCAGACATGAGATCAACAACACCAATTGGAAACCAACAGAGGATGTTGGAGATGACGAAAAACGAAAGGTTTTTGGCAACTGTGATCTCACGTCTCATGTGGACAGATGAACTAATTAGAGAGTTGCTGAGCATAGTTAGGTGTTTGAATATTTCAATTTGCCCTGTGACTATCAGAACGATAATTATAAAATTGATCACAATATAGAGAAGTAAGAAGAAAATCCATAATAAATTCTGAGTCAAATTTACAGGAAATCCCAGACACACAGCGTTAGATGAGTAAATCTGCCAGTCAGGAAATACAACTGATATTGTGGAGATAACGATGCCAATAGCGAAGATAAGACAAAAGAAAGTTGATTATATTTTTGGCGTTATATTTGTCTAAGTCAGTAAATCTCTAAAGATTAAATATCGATCTAAAGTGATCACTAGCAATGCGATAATTAAATATTTTTGATACACCAATGTCTCAGCAGAGAGAGTAACGAGAAAACCTGCGGCCTTACAATCCGAACTGTGTCGCCATTCATTGTCATACAACAAGTAGTCCTCACGGTAGTAAATATCAGCTCCTGCTATGATCATCAGGTAAACGCTCATGATAAAGTCTGACAAGTCCAGGTGTGTAACAAACAATCTATAACCCTGTTTTAGCAAATGCTTCTCATAGAATATGCGGCAGCCAATGACAACGCCAATACCTCTTAAACCTTCCATCGCTACCATCCATATCAGTATACGTTTAACCACATCACCAAGGAGATTTTCACATGAAGATATGGCGTCTTTTGGTGCTTTACAAGAATAAGTGGGAATCACCGGCCATGTGCATTTGTCGCAGCATAATTTGTAACTGTCCCCATAAACAATAATAGGTGCAGTAAGTTTTTGTAACAATTCAGATGTTCGCATATTAAACAATATGTTAGTATTTTTTAAGTCAATAATATCGATAGAAATTTTATCTTTATACCAACCAGAGACTTAGCGACCCTTCCCGGCGCCCGAGGACAAACTTTCGATTTGCACCCCCGCCCCCCCCCCCCCGGGAACTTTTCATTTGCACCCCCCCCCTCTATATTTCGATTTGCAACCCCCTCGAACTTTTCATTTGCAATCCCCCCCCCCTCAAACTTTCAATTTGGCGCCCCCCCCCCACCCCTAAGGTCGGCGCCCGGGGACATATGTCCCCCCACCCCGCTACGCATCTGATACCAACCTATTGTGTTTATCAATGTTGAACTTAAATTCAGAAAACTCATAAGATAGCGTCATTTGTTCACTAATTTAAAATACCTGAGTGGTGTGTACGATAAATCTATATTTTCTAAAAATATCAATTTACTCAATGGTAATTGCAATGGTCAGACTAATGTGTAAGTCAAATTCAAAAGTAACATATGCTATGAAGAAATCTATTTTTCTAATCCTATAATCCAAAGTGTTCTATAATGAAACATGTCGCGTAAAGCAATAAGCCGCTGAGTTAAATGTTACACATGTTGGGCTATGATATTATTCGGAGTGATCTGTTCTTTAGTTTAAATAAACCGGGAGTGATCTTCCCTAAACTTTCTCGAATCTAATATATAAAGCTCAATTCTATATGTAACATATAATAAGTTTGTTTGTCGTGGACATACTTCGATGGATTTAAGTGTTAGATTATTATCGTGCTCATAGTCTAAATGTATGAGTTAAAAAATTACTATTGAAAGTGTTGGGAAATAGTTTTTCAAACTGATAGTAATAATTGTCGGCATGTTGATAAACACAATTTTAAAAAAAATATCATCTTTTACAAAAATTCTAATTATGTCTAAAAATTATTTATATTTAGTCCTTTAGCACTTACTTCCCTTTGATAAATTAGGAAAACACAATTACTTCCCTTTATAAAACATTGCATTCGTGGAAAAAAATTTACTTTTTATTACTTTGTTTTGGGGTTTGGAAAAAAAAATACATAATTAGCGGGGATTGATCAAGTGCAAATGTTGTAGGTATTTTACGGTTAAGCTTGGAGTATTATAATTGTTCATTAAATTGAAACAGGCGCGTCCGCCTGCGCCCCACCAGGGTTCAATTTGGCGCTCTGGGCTATCCTGTTAAGCTATGGTGCATAATTTCACTTTAAACAGTGCGATAGAGTATGGATAAGAAAGGTTACTATAGTCTTTAAGTGAATCGAATCCAGCCGTCCTCTGGCGTGCTATTTTGGGCCCCGGGCCTCCCGTGTTCGGTTTGGCGCCTACGTTCGTTTAAGTGAGTGCAAAAGACTATGAATAAGTTGGGGTACTATAGTCGTTTATTAAGCTGAAACAGGTGATTCCGCCCCGGGCTAGACTGTGAGCACTTTGCGTTTATGTTCGCGCTAGTGTTTTCTTTGTGTTTAGGTTGGGTTTGCGTTAGTGGTTGCGTTTTGATTTGGTTCGTTTTTGTTCTTTCTTTTTTCGTTTTCGTTTGTGTTTTTTTCTTTGGGTTTGTATTTGTGTTTGTGGTTGGTTTTGCGTTTGGATTTGGTTTGTTTTCGTTTGCTTTTTCATTTGTGTTTTTTTCTTTGGGTTTGTGTTTGTGGTTGGTTTTGCGTTTGGATTTGGTTTGTTTTCGTTTGCTTTTTTGTTTGTTTTTTCTTTGTGTTTGTATTGGTGTTTGTGGTTGTGGTTGAGTTTGTTGTTAGGTTTTTGTTTTCGTTTGCTTTTTTGTTTGTTTTTTTCTTTGTGTATGTATTGGTGTTTGTGGTTGTGGTTGGGTTTGTTGTTAGGTTTTTGTTTTCGTTTGTATTTGTAATTGTGTTAGCGTTATGTTTGCGTTTTGTTGTTTAGGTTTTGATTGGTTGTGGTTTGGGTGGGTAATGCCGGGTTTATGATGATTAATAAACACACAGGTAATGGTCTTTTACAGAAAGGTTTTCACAGAAGCCAGAGCAGGGCCTGGCCGGGACGGTTAGTGTATTATATACGTATATATATACGTGTATGCTTATAGTAAGCCTAAACATTTTACAAAATACTTCTTAACGACATCCATTAATACTTTGTGGGAATAATGAACAATGCCCGAAAAAAACTGGTCACATGCTGAAAAACGGTTAAACCTGTTCAGAGGCCATATTACATTTTATAAACAAATCCAGTTTTTACTGAAAAAAAGTAGGTTGATTTTTTTTTTTAAATTACGAGAACTTATTTTAAATCGGAAAAAGTAACATTCTCCTTCTTCAATAATTCTAGACCAATTAAAAAGTAAAAACGACAGAGTAAAGATCTCAATGGCAGTACTATGCATTTTAAATTTTTAATATAGATCATATACAGCATTTTTTAAATTTGTATACGTAGAAAATTAAGGTAGTTTTTTTTTTAAATGATGAAACATTTCAGAAAACGCAATACAATAGATGACAGAGTCTAACAGTGAAGAGTAAACGACTTACTGTTGTAGAAATATCAGAAATGTTGACTACACAAAACCACTGTTTTCAGCACTACTCTTTTCTACAACTTTTCACGTTGCTTTTACTGAAGTCTGACGTTGTTC